TGATCTAACTTCTCTTAGAAAGTAAATAACTTACAAGGAAAAATTGTTCGCTGCCTTCTAGGGTTACCCGAACCCTAGTCTTCTTTGATCCTTCCTGACCACCAACACTCTGCAACCCTAACAAGTTTCCAACAGCTGCTAGCACTTCTGGCAATCTCCAAGAATCAGCCTGCGAACTCCTCCTTTTCAGCTCTCAGTCCTAGGAGATTCTCATGTGGTCGACTGGTATTAAACTCACATGAGAAACCCTAACTTAGCTCTGATACCATGTAGTTGTTCAAGACTGCTATTAGTCTTGATCACTCAGGAACTTCAGGATCGAAGAGAAGAGAAAGTAAAGGAGGAGAAAGAGTGGTGAGAGAGCAGTAGAACACAGTTTTGAGGAGAAGAACAGAATCTCAATATTCTGCCGCYRCCAYTTYAATTTAATATTTATATGTTATGCTAGTTACATGAAAGGACACATCTGCCCTTGGTGTTTACATCATAACACAACAATATAAAACTGAAAAGTAAATAACAACTAGAATTACAGAATCATAAATCGACCATAGCTGTGACTAGATACATTCTACCCTACAGACAGAGTGGGACCACAGCTGTGGGGCCCACATCAATGTTCTCTACAATTAGAAAATGTGTAGTAGAGAATGTGTTGATTAGACAAAATTTTAAGTTTTTCCTTATTGGTTCAGGTTTTTAAAGTCTTTTGGGGTTCAATACAGCATTTAGCAATGTTTATATTGATTAAGCCCTAACAAATAAGAAAATAATAAAAAGAAATTAGTATATAAACACACAAAATGAATATTTTAGTTTAGTAATGCCTATTTTACAATTATAATGTCAAAAAATAAAGAATAAAAAAGTATTTTATAATACATAGTTCAAAACTGCTTGGCAATTAGGCGAGGCGAGCCTCAAAGGACGCCTTGTCGCCTAGGCGTTGCCTTGACAACTATGCGTGGATGTATGGTCCAAGGTTCAGAGTTCCTACATTTTGATGGACATTTTAGTAAGTTACAGTTGCAGACAGCATATTTCAGTTCAGGAGTGTGAGAACAGGGAAAAAAAGGTTGCAGAGGTCACCAAGATATTTTTCCCTCGACGGTTTAACTTAATCCCAATTTATCTTGGATTTTCTCTACTTCTTTGTGTGCCGATTCTTTCATCAAAACCTCAAGCTGTTCTCAGAATTCACAAAGATCCAACGAATCAAAATCCACCAAAGGACTTTTATGAAAGAAATAAAACTGACTAAATCCCAAACCTCAATGCTCCTTAATCAAGTTAATAGCCCCCAGCGCATCCGACTCCACAACCAGACTCTGAATCTCCAGTCTTTAAGCCACCCAGACGCCAATTCTTTTTTCTTTTCTTTTTTTTTTTTGAAAGGTAAGGCAAGATTTTATTAATTCAGATTGAACAAATTACAACAGGAGAGCTAGCCACTTAAGGACTAGACAGAGCACAGGCCAAGTTACAGATTCCAAATGGACTTAGATCTAAACAACTCAGGAACATTTCAGGTTCTTAAAGTCAGGAGTTATAGACACCCAAGAAATCAGCTTGCTAACCGCCTGATGTACTACCTCATCAGTGCTGTTTGTCTTATTACAAAAGGCTCTCCTGTTCCTTTCTGACCAGATTACCCAAAGCACAGCTGCAGGAATTGTCTTCCATATTAATTTTCCTTTTTTCTTCAGGCCTGAAATCTCCCAGCAGAACAGAAGACCTTTAACTGAATTTGGCATGACCCAGCCAATACCAATAGCCCAAAGAAAATGATCCCATACTCTGGAGGAGATAGGACAGTGGATACACCCAGACACCAATTCTAATTGCAGCTAGTTCTGCATCTTCAACCAAGGCACACCAAACTCTAGAAGCTTGAATGTCAACCACCCTGCCTGAGAAGTCATGGATCACCACTCCAATGCCTGCTTGCTCTGCTGCCCTCCATGCCGCATCACAATTCAATTTCAGGAGACTCACCAATGGGGGAATCCACATTTCTCCAATCCAAATTGACCTGTGGATTGAAGAAGCACTGATTGGATCACCAACCACCTCCATTCCCCACCTCACCCAGGTCCTTCCAACTTCCTCAAGAAGGCTCTCTGGTGGGATATCCCGACCTGAAAAGGTTAGCTTATTCCTCAACTTCCAAGGAATCCAAATTACAATAGCCAACAAATAAGCCACTTACTCCCTCCCCCCAGCAGGGTCCAACAAGGCCACAGCCCACCCTAAAGGTTCTCCCCCGTGAAATGGCTGAAAGCTGAGATCCCAACCAAACTGGTCTACGATAAAGACGGTCAAGAAAAAGATGATCCACCGACTCCTCCCCTGCAGACCTCGGACACTTGGGACTCTCCACAATTCTCCTCCTATAAAGGTTCTTGTTAACTTCTAATGCATTTTTACAGGCACGCCAGATTAGATTACAAATGCAAAGAGTAAATTTTCATCCTCCAGATTTGTTTCTACAGAGGATGAGCTTTACCCTCTGGGGAAGGGGATGGATTTCTGGAATTCATCTTTTTTGCCACATAATAAGCCAATTTAACTCCAATTTGACTGTAACTTCCCCCGATCTGTGATATTCCCATATCCTGCGATCTGGAATAGCCTGCCAGCTCAAAAGAATACTCATTATTGCCACTACCTCCTGGTCCGAGAATAAAAATCGCAGCACCCCTTCATTCCACCTCCTAAATGCTGATATATAAGTTGATTCACCTTGGTCACAGAGCAATCATCCAGTTTAGGGGTCTGGATTCACAAGACCCGGGACCCACATGTCCTCCCAGATTCCTATCTCTTCCCTGCTACCCACCTCCACACACACCCTTCTTCCAAAACCTTCCTTCCCCATAACAGGCTACGCCATGCCCACAAAGCCTTAAATCCCACCTTTGCTTCCCAAAAATTGTTTCATGGAAAGTAACGACTTTTAAGAACCTTAAGTTCACTCTCCATTGCTACTCTCCAAGTTGATCTGGCCAACATTACCTAGTTGAAGGCTTCCACTGATCTATACCCCAACACTATAAACTAATACTTATTGGGTTGAGGATGAAGGGAGGATAGAAGAAACTATTCTAAATCATTTTTCATCCATTGATCTATTAGGTTATAGTGGATTTACTTAAGTCTTATAGACCTTTACCCTAAAAAGAGTCATACAGACAAAGATATGCCACATAATGAAGTCATGAACTTGAGACTGAATCAAATACTCTGCATGCCAATGAGAAAAATGCATACCTGCTATAAAAGAGTTCCCGTAAAATGTAATCTCACTATTTCCATGTTCTGTCTCAATTATCTCCTTTCCTATCCGATTTGAAGCCACTAGAGGTACCTGAAGTTTCAAAAACAGATCAGTTTCGTTGAAGAGGAACCACAACAAAGTATATAATGCATTGCTTAATTATAGAAATTTCCTACTTCCCAATGCCCACTGAAAATCTTGGAACCAGGATTCAAGACTATCAATCAATTAGTGTAAAAAATAACAGTGGTATGAATTTTGATATTATCCAACACCAATTCTTTACATCTAGTATGATAGCCTCAGAAAGCCCAGAATGTAGGGATGAACAGATGACCATACAGTTCATCTCATGCAAGTGTGAAATACCACTGCTATTTGAATATAATTCAGCTAATTTAAAGTGTGAAATACAAAAAAGGACTCAGGGTAAGCTGATTATATCAGTGGCATGCAAGTAATAGTTGAAACTTGTTTCCTGTAATCTCCCTCAACAACCAAACTTGTTTCCTGTTTCTGCCATGTGGAGAAACCCTCTGGGCTGTATTACATTTTGCTGAAAGATGATGAAAGAAGTGGTATCAAGCTCTACTGAAGGAACTATCAAGCGACTAAAGCTCTTAAACAAATGCTTGGTTGGTTGTTTCGTCAACTCTGAACCAGATGTTGAAGTAGTTTGGAACTGGGCAGTGACTGAATGGAAGCCAAGTACGCACTTCCAGGTGAGAAGACTCAGTGCAGGGTTCTTTCTTTTCTTCTTCAGTAGTGAAAAAGAAGCTCCGGATATTCTCGAGCGCGAGCAGGATCAAGTCTGGAGTCCAAAGTTAAGACTGGGGGGGGGGGGGGAGGGCGGGGGTGGAATCTCTCGTCGGAGCACTGAGAAACGTGGGGCCTTCAAGCTTTTTTTGGATTAACATGTTCAGCATTCCTCTTCATGCCTGGAGTTTCCAAACCTTCAGGGAGATCAGAGATGCTTGTGGGATTTTTAGGTTCGTTGACTCAAGAACTCTGGATTGGAAGAACTTAGTGAGTGTGTGTACCTTAATTGAGATGGAGGAAATTCATCTGGTTCCAGCATCCCTTTTGCTTCACTTTGGCGGAGAACTTTTCGATTTAAGAGTGGTAATAGAAGGAACTTACCCAGGCGATTGTCTTAATCTCCTAGTCTCGAGTAAGGAGGATAGAGGTGCTTCTCAAGTTCCCTCTGGTTCGAGAAGGCGGAAGTCAAAAAGACTATTCTTAGAGATAGTTTCGGAGGTTGAAGTTGAGGGTAGTTTGGGAACAAAAAAAGATATCGGTTTTATTGGGGTTGATACATCGGCTTTGGTGGACTTTCGAGACTTTGGAAAAGGAAGGACATATGATTTGGGGGTGAGCTTGAATAAGGAAAAGGGGAGCGGGGGCCATTCGGTGCTATCTGTTGGGGAAGGTGGAAAGTCTCCATCTCGGCATCTTTAAGGGGTGTCCCGCATCAGTGATGGAGATACCACTGGGGCCCACTCTCTAAATCCTTTATCAATTAGTGCGAGTAGGCTTCGTGTCCCACCCAAGGTAGGGGTTATTAAGAGGAGTGAAACTCTATTCAAACGCATTGTCAAAGGTAGGCATCCAAGTAGTTTCATTTTGAACTTGTCTCAAAAACAAAGAAAGGTCAGACTGCATAAGGGGTCGAAACTGAAGGTTGTTGAGAGACCTGCAATCGGGAGATCCTCTTCTAATGTGACCCATAAGCCCTGGATACAGCGAAGTTGCTCCTGGTAGCTGTGATCAAAACAGGGGAAATCAATGATCTTAGTTACTGTAAGTCCAGTGGGGGACTACAGTGCGTCTCGAAGTTCTGGGATCAGCATGGGCGACTCTGGTCACTATGTTCAAAGCAGCAGAGAGTCGGAAGAAGATCTCGAAGATGCTTCTCCAAAGCAAAACTCTGTTGCAACGCCCAAGGTCCCTTCCTCAACTGAATTGGATGTCACTAGTGCAGACAGGGAGGTCCACAAAGAAATGGAGATAGGCCTGATGAAGGAGGAAATTGCTACCAATGGGTCTGTTGTTGCCACCCTTGAAGGAAATGTTGTTGTTGGAGGGGGGAGGAAGTGAAAGTGTTGGTGAGGAAATTTGTTCACCATCCCAGATCAATGACGATACTGCTGATCTTCGTGTCTTCGAGGAGGTGGTGATTGGGAAATTAGGTGTGGATTTGGGTAGGAGGGGGGAAGAGAAAGAAAGATTTTATTGGGACTGAATCTGTGACATCCAAAAAGTGTTGAGGAGCTTCTGGAGTAAGATACTCTCATACTGTACATGTAACCAAAATTTTCTCCCGTCTGAAGCTTGGTTTGGTTGGGTCTGGGCCTACAAAGAACTACAAAAGGGTGTACAGAAGAAGGAGCAGTAAGACCCTTAAAATTTCAAAGCAAGATCTGGATATTGAGAACTCTCAGAATACCTCTAACCCGGGTAAGCAGCTGGGGACTGGTAATATTGTTTGTGCCCCTGAAAAGGATTCTATTTCTGTCGTTAGAGAACTTGATAAAAGTCTCGAAAAGGAGAAGAAAACCGATTTTGTCTCATTCAAGGCAGCGTTTAGAAAGGATGTAAAAATTGGTAAAAGCTTGGGTTTGTTTTTCTGGGGAGGTGAGGAATTTGCCTTAAAAGCTTTTGAAGAGTTTGAGAGGAAGGAAGAAAGTTCGAGAAAAGGGTTAATTGGAAGAGGGAGATGGGATGAAGATGGCAACAACCAAGAGGAGGCTTTTGTTGGAAAAGATTAGCTTTTCTCTTCCATTAGTATTTTTTCCCGTTTTCAGTTGTCCTTTTGTTTTTGGTCTAGGCTTTGGTCTAGGCAACAACCAAGAGGAGGCTTTTGTTGGGTCAGGAATTTGGAAGATCTGATGATCTAACCATTGGATAAATTGCATCTATTTGGACTTTCCTTTCCAATATGCAAACTCGATAACCGCCATTCAGAATGATGGGTTATTACATGGCTGGGATGATCATACCACTTGCTGGTCAATCAAAAAGGAATTCTGTATGTTAGGTAATCAGATTCAATGCCATGGCCCAAAAATAGAGTGGCAGATTGTGGAAGGATAATACAATTCTGAACTATTGACTCCACACCAAGTACATGAGAAATACAATTCATAAACAAACTCAAATGACTAGTTTACAGCACAAAAAGAATGAAGAATTACCAAATTAGCCCCAGCATGACCTTGCATCACCCGCTTCCAATGATCACGGGAATCAAGTCCTTCATCTTGTGGTTCAGAACCAATGGCAGTGGGGTAAAACAAAATTTCTGCTCCTTGAAGAACCATGGCACGTGCAGCCTCTGGAAACCACTGATCCCAGCAAATAGCTTGCATAAAAAGATTATGATATATTTTAGGTTATTCCATCACCATTCATTGCAGAAACATCCAGAAAAAAGACACCTCCTTAACAGTGAAGTATAAGAACTAGAAAAATCTTGACTTTGGTGAAATATTTTGAAGAGAGAGCCCTAGATACTCTTAAAATAGATCTTATGAATGGCTTATTAGAGATAAAATTGGCATGCATGTCACACCTAGTGAAGCTTACTAGACATGGAGGAATCTTACAGTTGATCCAAATTGTTCATTGAATAGGGGCCTTCAGGATCAACCAGATGTTCAGTCTCTAGGTCCATGACAAACCTATTTCCAACCTTGTAATAAAGCTATTAAAAGTTCCAATATTTAAATAATAAACCCAAACTAGATATCATTTCAACCACATTGCAATGTGGTTTAAACTAAATGTTGGCCTGTGGAAAAAGGGAATGATAACATGTAAGGCCCTTCAGATCCAAATCATGTGGCCAGTGGCTACACCAAGTCCCAGGACATTTATACATATTTAGCAATCCAACTAACAGACCCTCTCCATATATGTAAAACAATATGTATAAAGGATTTTAAAGTCTAAGGCATGATTTATACAACAATGCACACTGGATAAAAATTTTGGAGACTTTCAAAGTCTTTTCAGTCAATTATATAATCAGATCTTGGTCTGAAGTAGCACAAACAGGTAGTCACTCTGAAGAGGTGAGACTGGATTGGAAGCCACCACCAGAAAGTAAATTGAAATTAAATTTCATGGTAGCTCTATGGGTAACCGGGGAAGAGCAGGTGTTGGGGGAGTGATTACAGACCGTCAAGGTTTGGTGGCCGTGATGTATTCAGGTCCAGCAGGCTTAGGAGTTTCAGTCAAGGCAGAAATCATGGCACTTCTACATGGTTTCAGATTAGCACAACAGCTTGGCCTCAGAGATTTGCAAGTTGAAGGTGATTCACAGCTAGTAATTCATTGGGCAAAGCAACTCAAAGAAGCACCTTGGAAATACAGACATGCATTTAAGGAGATTGATGTGATTGCAAAGAAAATAAACTCAAGCTTCAGCTGGGTGAGAAGAACTGCAAACGGGGTAGCAGATAATTAGCTAAACAGGGAGTAGATAGGCCAAGTCTTTTCTCAGAAAACTTGTAAACGGTGTTACTGATGGGTGTTCAAATCTTCCAACAGTTGTATTAAGTCTAAATCTTTAATTTTTAATGAAATCCTTTTTCTGATAAAAAAACAATGCACAGGCATTAAATACTTAATAAGATAACCATTGAAGTTCATAACAAAAAGAATCTTTAAAAATTTATACAGGAGAACAAGATAGAAGTTGAAAAAATAAAAGATGCAAATAGTAACACAGTTTCATGGCTCACCAAGTAGATGACCGGTATTATGGCCAGATGACCACTGACCAATATGATGTCCAGTAAATCTCTCCTATTTGGATTTGCCCCTCCCATGAATACATATTTTAACCTTTTTACACATAAGTTACATCTAATATAAGGATAATCCTTCGCATATTTAGGTCCTCCAATTTATATCCTCTAATTCCATGTGAGGTCTTCCTAATTCCCTCTGACCCTTTTCCACTTCTTGTCGTTTTCAAACAAGCAAATAAAAAAGGCAACTAACTTGAAGGGGGGAAGAAAGGACAATAAGAAATAAACCGACCTCAATATAATGCCTTATATATAATAATAAAAAAAAAAGCTTGCAGAATATGATTTCAATAGAATTTGTGAGCATTGAGCAGGTTAATTAATGGTTTCATGGTCCCTCTCCAGAGAAAGCCTTTGTTGAGAGAAAGGAGAGATTATTTCACTCTAATTTGCATTGTATTTGCCACATATTGACAGAATAACATTGTCCCAAAGGTTTAAACCTTAAAAAATTGAAAGAAAAATGAAAGTGGGAGAGACAGAAATAAAACATGATGTTTTGTGACAGGTTCAAGGACCAATGGCTTATGACCATGACCAAGCCTCAAGACAAGAGACAGAAGTGAATGCTTCAGTCCCTGAAGCATAGGCCTCAAACTACATAGCTGAGGCTTAAACCTCAAGGCAATTGGTTGTAATCTACTGATGAGTACCTTGGATTTCCTCCATATCAGATTCTGAACTCTATTAATATTGTTTCTCAGATAAAGTTCTTGCTTACCAATTCCAATTTTGGCAAACTTTGTTCCAAAGACCTGTTTCCACAGAAATCATGGTTGCCATGAGTTTCTTCGGACAATAGAAATCACCTATGAAATTAAGTTTTACTTACAGAAGCACACAATCAGATCAACCCACCTTGAAGCCTGTATCACCAGGATTAAAGTAGAACTTTTCCTGGTAGCCTGAAGAGAAAAAACAATTGTAGTAACTAAATGGAAAATAAATAATACCAAACTTGATAAGAAGAATCCTTGAACACTTGCCTGGTCCATCTGGGATATGGGACTTTCTGTACAGACCAAGATCTGTCCCATCAGCATCAATTACTGCTACTGAATTGTAATGGGCATTGTTTGCCTCTTCAAAGAAGCTCACTGGTATTACAACTCCTAATTCTTTTGCTAGTTTTTGCATCCTGCGCAATATACACACATAATTTTGGTTTTCTGGATGGTTTTGCATTCATGCATTTGTGAAGTACAATTTCAGTGGACTAAAACACCAGTAAAAGGTATATCCTCTCTGAAGGCAACCCACATACAGCCCTAGTCAGAAGATTAAAAGGCATTACTAGTTTCTTTGTTTTTGTAACAGAATCATTAATAAGGCAATGACAATGTTAATTTCAAGTCAGGAAGAGCCAAAGAACACAAAGGCAGTTGACTAGACACAAAGGTACACAATAGACGATACATTCAGGCAAGGGGTCTGAAGTATAGTGAGGGACTAAACAACTAATTCATTTTAATGACACTCTGTGGAAGTAGATATTTTGTTGACAGTATAGAATAATGATGATAGAATAAATCCTTGTGAATAATCTAACTTGTCAATACTCAGCCCTAGAACTCCCAGGTGGGGCATTTCAAATTATGGTTCTGACTTCTTCCTGAATGCAGTGCACACCACATTACATTATGTGGTTGATTTGGTAGGTGCGAAGGTGGTCCTTACAGCCACCCATCTTTTTTCTTATTTCACCTTGCAGAAGATTTGGAGCCCATTTCAGTATTTTGATATCTCTACCTTAGGATTGTAGGGTGTCCTTTGTAAGACTTTGCTCGTTGAAAGAAATCCTCCCTTTGAGCTTGGCAGAAATAATATCCCTCAAATAGTTCCTGACAACATTTAAGATGTAAGAATGAAGGTAAAAGCAACATTCAGATGTTAAACTTAAAAAAGAAACTTCAGCAGTGGAACCAGATGTTGTTAATATCTTGACAACAAACCAAGGACATGAGTTCTAGAAATAACAAAATCGATTTCACTCCCTCTTCTTCTTCTCCTCCTCCTTTTGTGGGAGGGAGAAGGGGGGAGGAGTACTTGTAACTTTCACTAGACAAAAAAAAAATAATAATAATAAAATAAGGCTTGGGAATGAACAACCCTATGAATGCAGGAAGACCTCTTTCCACACTTCTACTTAATAGATCAAAGTCATGGCACTTCAATTTTCAACTCTCAGCAATCAAACTTCTTCAGTTTTGTTCCATGTTGAAAAGAAAGATGACATTATTAGGGGAGAATAAAAAAGGCCAATTAAGTAATTTCTTGTAGAAATGTCTTATGAAAGAAGTTTCACAGTGAGCATACCACTGCTTAGTGCAACTGCAAGATCTTGGGCTGACAGGAATGAGAACGTAGGTTCAAATCTGAGAGCAGCCACTTCATACTAAACTATTGAAGGTTAAGGTCGATATCCAATCTACCCCTCCCAAGACCCAAGACAGGCAGAACCAGAAATGGGTAATGGACTTTAGAGTTCTTTTCTGAAATGTTAAATGCTTAGTCACAAGCCAATCTATTAATGGACTCATTTTTCACAGGCCAAATCCCAGGGGAGGCAAATTGGAAAATCTTGGTGCACATGTTAGAGGGAACTCCTTTCTATTAATATCCTCTGAATATGCTACATTCTAGAATTCCAGGATTCTATAGACTCTGTTGCCATGAGAGCATCAAGACAAAGGGAAAATTCTAGATTGGGATTGATAAGGCTGGATATGGAACCTACTGCACCCTGGTTGCCCCTTTCCATTGTATATATTGAAGGATTCCAAAGGAAGGAGAGGTCACTATTTCACAGAGCGATGATACAATAGATCACAAATACAGAGATGTCAGCATCTCAACGAATGGAAAGCTTCTGGTTAAATAGTATTTGAATTTTAAATCCCTGATATTGCTGCAGATGGGGATGGACTTCAGAGCATCTTGAACCCAAAAACCCCCAAACAGTATTACATCAACAATGAATTTGCGCTATAAAAAAAATTCCTCCCTAACCCTGATTTAGAGTGGAAAGAATTCAGCTCCCTCAACAAAATAGATCTGCTGAAACAGATGCATCTTTAACAAGAGGGTTTGGTTATGTATGATGTGATTAATGATCAAACCACTGAAATTCCTGAAAATCAGGGGAGGTTGGATTCTATGAAGAAGTTAAAGGGCACTTTGGATCTTCAGAGTTAAAACTTTAAGAGACCCTTTTGGTTTAAGGATTTAAAATTTTGTGTTGGGAATCAACAGCACAATGTGAATGAAGAGAAAGGTCTGGTGAATAGAGCATTGAGAAGGCTAAGGCAAGAGCAGGGTCCAGTGATACATCAAGAGGATAGAAGTATAGGATTAAGGATTTTGGTATTACCTTCAGAGATGACCAGGTAGAGTTTTCTGGTGTGAAGGATAACCGTTAACTCTAGAGCTGTTGATCAAATAGAGAACTATCTAGATGTTGTCATGGAAAACAACCAAGGATGAACTCAGGTAGAAATCCCCTTTTGCAAGCATATAAAGAGGCTGCTGAAAGAGCAAGGAGCTTGCTTTGATCACTTGCTTGGATGCAACATAAGGATGTGTGCATGTTCAGACTTCAAAGTTTCTGTATCCAGACATCCCTCCTTTCCAATTACACTAGAGCTGAAGATAGTCAGCTGCATACAACTGCTTGGACTTTTTACTTTTTGACTTCCAAGAAGCTTGTTTTACAGTATTCATGTATCTCAATGGACAACAACATGAATTCCATTTGTGAGTTTAAGAAAGTTGCACATCAAAACAAGTAGATACAATTCATCAAATAGATATTTCCATCCAATGTTTTAAAATGCAAAGGCGTGACATGAGACGTTAGCCTCCCGAACACAATGAGGCATAAGCCTCCTTAAGAGGAGGGGGGTCAGGAGGAAGGAGGAAAGGGAGGAGGTGCGCCTCCAGGTGTATGCCTCCCACGGCTTTTAAAACATTGTTTCCATCCTTTTAATCTCTATAAACCGTCTGTTCCTTTCTTTATGCAGTAAGTATAATAATGAATAATCAAATAGGAATTAATCCAGAGAAAATACAAGACAGGGCAATTCATGATTGATTCAGTTCTCTTCCAAAGCATATATCTAAGAAGGATAAATATTACTTTCTTTCTAAATTTCAAGAAATCAGAAGCTTTTTCATAGAACTCAATCAAGTCCAATCCAAGTAATCTCATATGTTCAAGATATTTTTTTTTATGAATAATAATAAGTTTATTGATTCAGAAGCAACTTTAGAGTGAGTTCATACATCATCCCAACGAGAGGCACGAGCTGCAGCCCCTCCTTGAGTCTTACAAGCAAACTAGGAAAGAAAAACAATAATCACAACTGAGCCCAAAATAATTCTTCCCTATTTACCCCTTGCTTAGCTAACACATCTGACAAAGTATTTGCTGA